GCTCCCAGTAGCTCATTCCCATTTCTCAGATGGGGGGGGCAAAGACTCAGTGGGGTGACATGTCTTGCCCAAAGACACACAGCAAACAAGACACAGAAGGGTTTGCTTTCTGTCTGGCAGCAGGAGCAGCAAAGCCAGGCCAATAGCAATGACTTCAAAAGTCGGGGGTGGGGACGCCTGGGTGGCTCAGTTGGTTAAGCGGCTGCCTTCGGCTCAGGTCATGATCCCAGCGTCCTGGGATCGAGTCCCACATCGGGCTCCTTGCTCAGCGGGGAACTTGCTTCTCTCTCTGCCTCTGCCTACCACTCTGTCTGCCTGTGCTCATGCTCTCTCTCTCTCTCTCTCTCTCTCTCTCTCTCATAAATAAATAAAATCTTTAAAAAAAAAAAAAAAAAGTCGGGGGTGGAGGGGGTTTGAGGGGCCGGCCACAGAAAGGTGGGCCAAACTAGGTTGGAAAGAACCAGGAAACTGAGATCGGAGATTGGGGTGTGGGCCCAAATTCCAGCAGCTGGTATAGCTTCCTCCAAGGTGGTTTTCTGCAAAGAGCGGCTTGGGAGTCCCAGGGAAGCCCAGCATAGTTTCAGCCTGGTCACCTGGCCCGTCTGTGGCTGGTCACCCTCTCGACTGTCACACTGCTAAAAGTCAAAAAGTCAAACCAAGAAGGGTTCACCTTCAAAAAGTAATAATAATAATAATAATAATAATAATAATAACAAAACTTGAGATGTGCTTGCCCATGAGGGGTGTGGAAATTCCATATGACTTTACAGCCAGGCTCAGAGCCAGAGCTGGGGGCGAAAAGCAGGTCAGCTGATCTCAGGGTGAACTGCAATCTGTTGACAGTGAAATGGAATGATCTGGAGATCAAAGGCAGCTGTGAAGGGGACGGAGTGGGCATGCTACAGTCCCAGAATAGGGACCGGGGACCTTCCCTCAGCCACTGGTAAGGCAGCTTTAGCCCTGCCCAGCCTCCTCCTGGCCAGGGGCCCCAGAGCAGGGCGACTGCCTGGTCTACACCACTGCTTCTCCCTCCTGTATATTCGGATGGGGAGCCTGGCCGGGTAGCCACATCTCTGGAGAAGGGCCGCTGGGGAAAGCATGGCCCTCACCACCCTCAGGGTCATGTGGAATACTGTCTACCCACCCACTCCTATTGATTAGGACACACAGGGCCAGGGACACAGCATGACTGCCTCCGAGTCACACAGGGACCATTATCACGAAGACTAGAAGCTAACCTTCCCACCACACTGTCATCACACCCTGTCCCACTGCAATGCCAGCAGGACACCTGAGTCAGCACATTGCAGTAGGGACAGGCCCCAGGAGCCCAGGGCTACTCCAATGCCAAGGTCAGGCTTCCAAGGGCCTGGGAACACCACAAGGCACAAATATGGCTCCTCTTTCCCAGCAGCTATTTCTACAGGAAGAGGCATTGAGTCTACACTTGAGTCTACTCAAGAACCCAACAGCTAGCTCAATCAGAACAGGAGGAAATGCAGACACCCAGATAATGGGCCTGCTTCATAGCAAAGATGCAAATGTTTTACCCCCCAAGGAGCTTCCAATGACACTTTGCACCAAAATCTCATCTCCTTTCATGTTTGGAAGAAAGCCATTGATATAGGGGAAATCTTCCGAGACTTATGAGCTCAATTATAGGCCAAGAGGTGGATTATCTTTTTTAGCTAATAATAATGCATGAATACTTTCATTTTTGTGTCCTCTGGGAATATTGTCATTGTTGTTTTGTGGGAACAATGACTGACTCAAAAGCAAAGTAGATGATTTATCTCTACAAGACTTTTATTTGCATACTTTGAAAAATGATTCAGAAACGTATTTCTTGGAAAGTGGGTGTAAAATTAAATTCTCTGATTAAAGTAAAATAAAAGTGCTTTTAAAAAGTGGCTTAAGGATATAAACTCAACAGACAATTTTCTAGGATTTTCTAGGAGAGTCCCAATTTTAATAACATTCCCCACTCTGGTTCTCCATAATCACATTTTTATGTGGCAATCCATAGATCTTTTCGTTTTATCTGTAAAATATGGTCATCTCTGAAATGAAGACATTTAAATGTTTTAAAAGTTTCAAAATGTGTTTTCTCACTTTTTGGATTTTTCATTCGAAGGTTCATCATGTTTTGTATACGTTGACATAAACACAATCACAAATTTTCCCAGATTTTAATTAAAATATATGTCACTTAGGAATGCTTTCTGCCGCAAAGAACAGAAAACTCCAGTGCTCACGTGGTTGGGGTCCCATTCGCTCTCTCTTTCCATACACCTCTCAATTCTTTGGCATCAGTCTTGGTGCTTGGAGCTTGCAAGATGGCGGCCACTTCTTGCATGGACATGACCATCTTCTTTTTAGGAAGTTATGGGGGTGGGGTTTAAACAAACAATTGTCCGAACCCTAACTACTTTGCTTTACCTTCTCAGCAGAACTTTATTTACTTTGTCTCTTTGGTGAGGATGGTGTCTCTTTTGTCACTTCTAATTGCAAGGGAGACCAGAAATTCAAGTTTCTTGCTCTCCACACCCTATAACAGAAAAGGGACATTGAGTATCTGACATCGTATGCCTGCTTGTTCCTTTACCAAGGCTATAGTGACTGCAGACTTTAAAGATCTCTAAAAACAACAAATAATGCAAATAATAAATGCATGCTTTTAATTGATGAGTGCATCCTTTGAGAGTATTAAAACGGTGATGCTCTTTCCACCATGAATTTGTGACTTCTACTTCTGGGCCCAGAGTACTGCCTGACATCATAGCCAAACACATGCTTAAAGTTTTATAGCGATCAGATTAATGGGACATTACAAACTGGCTTACATAGCAAAATCTGCCTTTTGGACTCAGCAGAGTTCCCATTGATTCTTCAGCCTTCTTTTGCTTCTTGGTCAATGTCAATGTGAGGGACATTTTTAAAGAACACATAAATTACTAGTCAAGGTTTTTGCCCAATTATTTATAATTGCACGCATTTGCCTAATAGAAATTTTCATTTTATGGTGAATTTCAAGATCCTTGGGGCTACTACTTCCCCTTTTAGTGAAACGGTTGCATTTCTCTCTTCATTTATTGCTCTCCTAGATCTATGAAAACTCAGACTCAGAGTGGAGGGACAATGTTAGAAAGGTAACAGATGGTCTGAGCTATTCTGGAAACAAATTCACTAGATATGCCTGGGTCCAAGCTTGAAGGGGCCCATCTGGTGAGGTGGCACCTGGCAGGTCCGTGGACACAAACGTGGGTGCATAGTAAGGTGGAGGTACAGATGAAAAAGTTCATCAGAGACAGGCCTTTGCTCTCTCGGAAAGAGAACTAAAGTGTTGAAAGACAAATTGTCATAGTGGAAAAGAATATTCCAGTACATTCCACCCTCTCAGCACCCTCTGCTATTCACTCTGGGGAATTACTTGACAATCCAGTGTTCTGGCTTTGCTGCTGCCACAGGGAAGGGTGTGAGAATTGTCTATCTGGCTCCATAGATTTCTATAAAAGCCCTTCAAAATGTATTTCCCCAAGTCTGTCCTTCCAGAAAAAAACCCCAACTCAAGGTAAAATTGTTCCAGAACGTATTGCGCTTATCATATCGAGATGAAATATTGGGCACATGGGGCAAGAATTTAAGTCTTACTTACAAAGAGGAAATTTGCAGACATGGTTGATGTTTGGTATTCATTAAATACAGAAAACAAAGCTGCTTAGGAAAAGGAAGTTTGGAATTTTCTCTGCTGATGTTATCCCATGGAAAAAAATAAAAGGGACAATGAAGGCAGGCCAGGCTTATCCACTCCCACAAATGCAGCCATTTCCCCCATGAAGCCAAATCACTGAGGGATTTTCAGGACAACAGACAAGTGTTTCTCCCTTTCTGCTCTTGGAAAAGTAAAGACTGTTCAGGTTATCTTGGCCTCTGGCAAACAGCCTCTCCTCACAGAAGCCAATCTGTGCCTAGAGAATAAGACTTCAGAGTAAGCGCTGTGGACAGAAGTTTGAAAAAAAAAATCAGACAATTTTAGAACTGACAGTAACCTGAAGATCAACCACCCTATTCTGGAGGTGAACAGGCTGAGACCAAGAAGTGGAAAATGCCGCGCCTAATCCTCCATACTGATAGAGGCAAACTGGAACGTGATCCTCTGTCTCCTAGCCCTGTGCTTATCGCTCCATAAGCAGCTACATGGATGTAGCTACAAGTGGCTACAAAGTCCCTTTCACCCAATTATAAATATTCAAAATTACATATAAAATGTAACAAAAATATTTTAACACGCAGCTGAGTTTGGGGGGAAAATAAAGGAAACACCAAACATCAATAACACAAAGGGAAGCAAATCAAGCCCCTGGGACAGAGGATATGGCAGCCATTGGGTGTGGGGTTTGGAGTGTTGGAGCTGGAGATGCGCCCCAATGGTCAGAGTTTTCATGTTTTAAGTCCTGCTTGTATAAGGACTTGTGACCTGTACAAGATGGAGAGTAGACACTAAGACCTATTCACACTGGTGAGACCCTAGGAGACTGCATGCCAGTTAGGGGGCACTAGAAAGTACTTTTGGGTAGGGGGACAGAGGAATTTGGCTTCACTGAGGTGTTTAGTAGAAAAAAAAAACCATCCTAAGAGAAATTAACCTACCAAGCCTGTGACATGGGGCAGGAGCAAAGTCTGAATTTTATACTCTTCCTTGGTAATCTTTTTTTTTTTTTTTTTTTTTTAAAGTAAGCTCTCCACCTCGTGTGGAGCCCAATGTGCGGTCTGAACTCAGGGCCCCAGGATCAAGACCTGTCCTGAGATCAAGAGTCAGATGCTTAACCAACTGAGCCACCCAGGTGCCCCACCCTTGGTGATCTTTTTGGAGTGCCTGGCAGAAACAGATGTAAAGCTTGTCTGGAGGAACACTTTATAACCCAGACCACGTGAGGGTTTTGTAGACAAAGTGGATCACCACTAAAGATGACCTCGTGATAATTACCAGAGCCACCAACATGGGCTCCATTCACACCAAAACCATGAAAAAGGCAGCCTGGGTCACCACTGAGAAATATTACATGTACCTAGACAATGACTCCCACACCAACAACCAGGTGTGTGAGGAGATTGCCATTATTCCCAGCAAGAATTTCTGAAGCAAGATCACAGGCTATGCCACACATCTGACAAAGTGGAGTGAGAGGGGCCCAGTGAGTGATATCTCCATCAATCTGCAGCAGAAGGAGAGAGAAAGGAAAGATGATAATGTTGCTGAGGTCTCCATCCTGGATCAGGAAATCACTGAAGTTGATTCTGACACTAAGGAAATGTTGAAACTCTTGGATTTGGACAGTCTGGCAACCCGCAGGTCATGCTGTCTACAGCTGGGATGAATTGCAAAATACCATGGAGAATCATTTGAATCTTCCTGCTGTGCTGTGATATCTTCAATAAACCTTAAACAACAACAACAAATTCCCAAAACAGATAAGGAAATGTTGTGATTTACCATGATAGAGAATTAGTAAACACAATCGTGGCTAGATGAAATGATAAATAACCAAACCAGACAAAAGAAAATCAGTAAACAGAAACTACACAGAACTATCTGGGAGAGACTATAAAACAATATTTTAAATGATTACACAGATGAAGGAATAAAAACCATAATGAAATAACATTCAAAAAAGAAACTGGAAGATCCTATAAAAAGGGATTAGATTAGCAATTTTGAAACTTCCCACAAAATAAAGTTCAGACCTAGTTGGCCTCCCTGGTGAATATTACTATACAGTTAAAGAAAAATAAATACCAATTCTTCATAAACTCTTCCAAAAACAGAAGATGTGGGAACACGTCCCAGTTTGTTCTATAGGGTCAGATTTTGCCCAGTAATCAAAACCAGTCAAAGATACTACAAGAATACAACACATCAAAGTTCGTTATGATATAGATGTGAGAGTCATCAACAAAATACTAGCAAACTGAATCCACCAGTAATAAAAAGGCTTATACACCATGACTAAGTAGAATTTATCACAGGAATGCAAGGTTGATTCAAAATACAGAAGTTCAATCATTGTAATACACCAAATCAACAGAACAAAGGATGAAAAAACCCATGATCATCTCAATAGACACAGAAAAAGCATTTGACAAAAGTCTAACATTTTCATGATAACAACACTTGACAAACTAGGAATAGAAGGGAATTTCCTCAATCTGATGGTTAGGTTATATCTACCTATCTATCTACCTATATAGAAATGTTACATATATATAGAAATATATTATTTATCTATATTAAATTATATATAGAGAAATATATCATATTTCATAAATATACATTTATAAATATATATAGAAATATATCAATTATATTTCTGTATACTCTCAATGGACAATTGGAAAATGAAAATAAGAACACAGTTCAGTTTACAAAAGGATCAAAAATACTTAGGAATAAATTAAAAAAAAAAAAGAACTGTAGGAGTGCCTGGTGGCTCAGTCAGTTAAGTGTCTGACTCTTCATTTCAGCTCAGGTCATGATCTCAGTGTCATGAGATGGAGCCCCATGTTGGGCTCTGTGCTAGGCAGGGAGTCTGCCAGAGATTCTCTCCCTCTGCCCCCCTCCCTCCTTGAGTGCTCTCTCTCTCTCTCTCTCAGATAAATAAATAAATAAATAAATAAAATCTTTCTTAAAAGGAAGTGTAAAACTTACACTTTGAAAACTACAAAACATTGCTTGAAGAAATGTAAGACCTAGATAAATGGGAGGACATTTCATGTTCATGAATCAGAAGAGCTAACACTGTTAAGACAGTAATACTTCCGGGGCACCTGGGTGGCTCAGTGGGTTAAAGCCTCTGCCTTCGGCTCGGGTCGTGATCCCAGGGTCCTGGGATCGAGCCCCGCATCGGGCTCTCTGCTTACCAGGGAGTCTGCTTCCTCCTCTCTCTCTCTCTGCCTGCCTCTCTGTCTGCTTGTGATCTCTGTCTGCCAAATAAATAAATAAATAAAAAATCTTTAAAGACAAAAAAAATTTAAAAAAAAGACAGTAATACTTCCCAAATTGATCTACAGATTCAACAAAACCTTCATCAAAATCCCAGATGCTTTTCCTGCATAAATTAATAAGCAAATCCTAAAATTGATATGGAGATACAAGGTACCAGCAATAGCCAAAAACAATCTTGAAAAAGTCAAAGGACTCACACTTCCCAGTTTCAAAATTTACTACAAAACTACGGTAATCAAGGCAGTATGTATAACAGTTCAGTGGTAGGACAGACATATCAATCAATTGAATAGGATGGAAAGTCCAGAGACAAATCCTTACATTTAGTGTTAACTTTTCTTTTAAAAGATTTTATTTATTTATCTGACAGAGAGATAGAGAGAGAGCACAAGTAAGCAGAGAAGCAGGCAGAGGGAGAGAGAGAGGCAGATTCTGATCAGGAAGCCTGATGTGGGGCTCGATCCCAGGACCCTGGGATCATGACCTGAGCCGCTTAACCAACTAAGCCACCCAGGTGTCCCAGTCAATTGATTTTTGACAAGGGCGCCAAGACAATTCAAATGAGGGAAATAATGATCTTCTCAACAAATAGTGTTGGGGCAATTGGATAGCCACAAGCTGCAGGATGAGGTTGGAACCCTTTCTTATGCTAGATCCAAAAATTTACTCAAAATGAAATGTAGATCTAAATATAAGAGCTTAAACTATAGTACTCTTAGATGAACACATGGTGGTAAATCTTTGTGACCTCCGGTTGGGCAAGATTTCTTATGACACCAAAATCAGAAGGAACAACAGAAAAAAAAAATAGATAAATAGTATGCAAAATTCAATTTTGTATGTGTGTTTCAAAGGACAATGCACAGATTGGAGTGGCAGGGATCTGCTGGGTTTTGAGACACCAGGCAGAGCTGTGTGCCAGAGACAGAGACACTTGGTCACAGGCTGGGTGAGCTCGGAGTGCGGCTGGAGGACAGGGAGATGGGAGTGATTGAGCACTTTTCTCTGAGGGTGCACTGAGGAGTGGGACCCAGAGCTCTCAGCTCCTCTGGGCCAGATATTGGGAAGCTGCCATTTTCATTCCCATTCTCCAGAGCTCTATGGAACACGTTCAGGGAATAAAAGCTTCCAAGAGGGGTACCTGGGTGGCTCAGTGGGTTGAGCCGCTGCCTTCGGCTTGTGTCATGATCTCAGGGTCCTGGGATCAAGTCCCGCATCAGGCTCTCTGCTCAGCAGGGAGCCTGCTTCCCTCTCTCTCTCTCTCTGCCTGCCTCTCTGCTTACTTGTGATCTCTCTCTGTCAAATAAATAAATAAAATCTTTAAAATAAAATAAAATAAAATAAAATAAAAGCTCCCAAGAGCAAACCCAAGCAGATTACTTAGCCTGGCCCCTAGCAAGGGTGTTGCAATTCTGCTTTGGGCAAAGACATTTGAGAATCACTACAACAGGCCCCTCCCCCAGAAGATCAGCAAGAAATTCAGCCAACACCAAGTTCATTTATCAAGGAGAACATTGGAATTCCAGAGGAGGAGAAGGCAAAGCATGGAATTCATGGCTTTCTCCCCATAATTCTTTAGTCTTGCAAAGTTAATTAATTAATTTTATTTTATTTTTTCTTATTCTAATTTTTTTAACTTTTACTCTTTCCCCTTTTAATGTTTTTAAACTAGTTTATCTTAACAATACCTTTCATTAAAAAAATCTTTTTGAACTTCATTATTATAGTCATATTTTATCCTTCATTTTATCTAACTTTTTTTTAAAGATTTATTTATTTATTAATTTATTTGTCAGAGAGAGAGCAAGCACAGGCAAGCAGAGTGGCAGGCAGAGGCAGAGGAAGAAGCAGGCTCCCTGCCAAGCAAGGAGCCTGATGTGGGACTTGATCCCAGGACGCTGGGATCGTGACTTGAGCTGAAGGCAGCTGCTTAACCGACTGAGCCACCCAGTCATCCCCATTGTCTCTAACTTTATTTTTTGTATACACATAGGATTTTTTCTTCTAAAAAGTTTTGAGTCGGGGGGCGCCTGGGTGGCTCAATGGGTTAAAGCCTCTGCCTTTGGCTCAGGTCATGATCCTAGGCTCCTGGGATCAAGCCCCGCATCGGGCTCTCTGCTCAGCAGGGAGTCTGCTTCCCTTCCTCTCTCTCTGCCTGCCTTTCTGTCTACTTGTGCTCTCTGTCAAATAAATAAATGAAATCTTTAAAAAAAATTTAAAAAAAAGTTTTGGGATATAACTTCTTCTAATAGATCAAAATATACCCTAAATCTAGCACAGGGCTTTGTTCTAGTCTCCAGTCTGAGCAAATTCTCTCCACTTTCTTTTTCTTTCTTTTCCTAACCAACTTATCTTATCAACTCCTTTTTAGAATTTTTAAAAAATTTTTTCATCTTTATAGTCATATTCCATCCCTTCATCGTGTTTACCCTTATTTTTGTATATATACATATAGATATGTATATATGTGTGTGTGTATAAAAGTTTTTCTTTCTTTTTTTTTTAAAGATTTTATTTATTTATTTGACAGAGATCACAAGTAGGCAGAGAGGCAGGCAGAGAGAGAGAGAGGAGGAAGCAGGCTCCCCGCTGAGCATAGAGCCCAATGCAGGGCTTGATCCCAGGACCCTGGGATCGTGACCTGAGCCAAAGGCAGAGGCTTTAACCCACTGAGCCACCCAGGCGCCCCAAAAGTTTTTCTTTCTTTAAAGTTTTGGGAGGTAGTTTCTTCTAAGAGACCATAATACACCCAAAATTAAGTGGGTGGCTCTGTTCTACTCACCAGTCTAATATATATATATTTTTTCTTTTTTTCTTTCTTTTTTTAAAAAAGATTTTATTATTTATTTATTTGACAGACAGAGATCACAAGTAGGCAGAGAGAGAGAGAAGCAGGCTCCCTGCTGAGCAGAGAGCCCAATGCAGGGCTCAATTCCAGGACTCTGAGACCATGACCCAAGCCGAAGGCAGAGGCTTAACCCACTGAGCCACCCAGGTGCCCCTTTAATTTTTTTTTAACTTATTTTTACCCCTTCCCTTCCCCCCATGGTTTGGGGTCTCTCTGATTTGGGTAATGCACATTTTCCTGGGGTCTTT